TCGAGTTCGGTTCGAATTTCGAACCGAACTCGAACTCGGGCAAAAGTCCGGTTCAGTTCAGTTCATAGGAACACTAAATCAATTATTAATAATCAATGATAATTAATTATTAAATAATAATCAATTATAATTGAATATAAAAATTTTCTGATAAAATGCTATTTTTACTATGATACTATTGCTACTTTTATTGGATTTAATTACTTGTTTTGCTAGTATCATATTGCTATTTTTGCTATTATCACTATTTTACTTGGATTTCAAATATATTATATTCTTTTATATACTTGACACATGTTTTAAGTCAGATAAAAGAGATAAGATAAATATCTAAAGATGATAACGTATATTCAATAATTTACTAATCAACTAAAAAGTGACTTAAAAAATCTTCTTATAATTTAATGTATATTTAATAAGATAATTATGATGTTATGAGTTTCAAACTCAAGTAGATAATCTTATGATATAGGTATTCAAATAATATTTATTTTAGTAAGTTAATAATTCAATCCAGTTGTTTTAGAATTGTGATACTATTATAATTGGGATTCTAGTAGATGTTATCATAATGTTGGTGTTTAACAAATATTTAATTTAATTTTTCTTTATATTTGATCTCAATGTTTACTTAATATGAAAATAATTCTAAAGCAATATAATACTGATATTCTTTAGCAACTTTGGTTGATGTTTTATAGTGCACAATTAATATAATTATTATAAATCAATTAATGTATAATATTTTATTAATAATAAATAAAGAATAGTTTATTAACTAGCTAGATTTTGTAGTGATCAATTGATGATTTATTTGAGAGATAAAACTCTTTATTATATAGCTAATTATTTTATCATGCAAATTACAACATGTTACATTTTATTATAACATATTGCAAAATATTACAATATGTTGTAGAAAATTATTATATATTACTGAATATTATTACATATTACTGAATATTATAATATATAACAAAATATTATATGAATTTTGTCATGTGAAAATAATAAAAGAATAAATTATAATAATAATGATAATAATGATAATGATAATGATAATAATAATGATAATAATAATGATAAATAATAATAATACTAATAATAATGATAATATATTTGATTTGTAATAGTGTTGTGCAACTTTTTTTATTCTATTAATTTAGAATAGGTAATTTTATTACTAATAAATATCTCCTTTGTATTTATTTAGTATAATAATAGTTCTATAGTAATACAGTACTGATATTTTATAGTAATCTAGTTGAGTATCTAGTAGTGTATAAAGTAAGTATTATAATAAAATCTAATAATTATAAAATCAATTAATATACAATTTCATTAAACAATAAACAAGAAGTAGTTTATTGACTAGCTAGATTTTGTATTGATCAATTAATATCTTTTGGTTTATTCAAAAAATCTTTTATTTATATAAAATTATTTATAATTAAGTTATTATAATATGAGATATGTTATATATATTAGATAAATATGATATAGCAGATAATGTTAATATATCTGAGAACTCTGCTATCTTTACTATCTCTACAATTTATGTTTAGTCATATGATCAGAATTAAGAAATTAGAGATAATTCTGGACTATTTTCATCTTTGATTAGTATTTTCATTTATCTGTTTAATTTTTTTTATTTATAGTCAAATCTCTCTATAGTTATCACCCTCAGAAAAGCAAAATTTGATGACTATAGAGAGGTTTTTTTACTATATTTATAAGTAAATGGAAAAACAAAATAGAATAACTATAGAGAGATATGACTATAAATGGGTGTGACTATAAAGAGATTTAACTGTATTTATTTTTTTTATTTTATTTATTTTATTTTTTTATTTTTTATTTTATTTTTTATTAATATTTATTTTAATTTTTTTTAATTTATAGGTGAATATTAAAGCAAGTCAAAGTGAATAATTTCATTTAAAATTTAAAAATAAATGTTTTATAAACAATTTAATATATTATCAAGACTTGAAAAGAAATTTTGACTAAGATTATATGTAATTGTTGGTATTATACAAGAATTCTTACAGTTAGCACTAATGTTGATATTCATAATCTTTTCAACAATATTTATAGAATTGATAATTCAATATTTGATGAATTTATTAGTGCACTTGATGTACTTTGTTTTCTAATACAATGAATGTTAATGAGTTTTTTACTATTAATGATAAAAATCTTGTTTACGAAGTTTCTTCAGATAATTAGATTATTAAGAAACTTGTATATACATTCAAAAAGGATGAAAGTATGGATAATAGTATCAAAACTATAATTATTAATAGTAGTTTAACATTAAAAAATTTAGAATATTTTTGCTTCAACAAGAAAATTTAGATGAACAATTAAAATTAATTAATATTCTTGAAAAATTTATTAGAGAAAAAATAATTAGTTCAGCTTATTAAACTCATATAGATAAGTACTTTAAATAAAAAGAGAATTTATTATATTGATAAATTCTAATATTGCTTATCTATTTCATCAGGCAGATTAGTGATTAATTAATTATTATAATTTCTTTAAATACACACTCTCTTTAAATATATATTTATGATTAGTTCTCAAAGAGGTGCACTTAGAGAGATTTGATTGTATAATTCTTTCATTCTCAAACTTAATTATAAATTTAATAAGTTTTTTAGTAACTTATCTAATTGTTTTTAATAATATTGAATATTATCTAATCCAAAAATTTTTGAATTTGAACTTGTTAAATCAAATTATTTTGAATCAGTTTTTAGTTAACATAGTTTTTTGCAAATAAAGCTTTTTTTTTATTCTCATTATCAATTCATAATTTTGAAGTATATGACAAATTGTGAATGTTATTATAATTCAAGATTTTTAGGATAATAATATAAAAATAGTTTATATATTATTTAAATACTTTTTTATTATAATTAATTGTACTATTATCAAGAATATAATATTATATATATATAAGAAATTACATTATTAATAGAATATTCTAGCAATTATTAATAATCTAAAATATTTATAATTAATATTAATAATAATAATAGATAAAATATAAGATAAGATTGATAATTATCTAGATTACAATAATAAAAAAAGATTTATATATTATAAAAAAAGTATTATTTATTTATGTATTGATTTATATTAAATTAATCAATATTAAATCTAAACTAATTAATAATTATTATTAATTTAAGAAATTAAGATAAATTATGATGTAATTTCTAGTTTTGAATCTTTAATATTAATTTTTGTATAATCTGAATAAATTCAGATTATAATAGCATAAAATATTAATATTATAATTTGTCTAAAGATTTTTTATTATTTTAATAATAGTCAAACATTTATGAGAAATAATTAAATTAACAATTTTTCTTTGTATTGATTCACTCAAAATAAATGAACAGCTGAAAATACTTATATTATCAAGAGAGTGATTTTTTTACTATCTTTTGTTAATATATAAAATAGTAAAATTACTAATATTGCAGACTCTAACTATTTCTCTTATAAAATAATCTTTTTGAAGAAAGAGAATTATTTGAACTTACTTATTTGAAGTTGTATGATATTTTGATATCTTTTCTTTTTTGCTAAATAATTACAATATGAAACATGAAAAAATATAAAATGGAATTTTTATAATTTTTATATAGCTATAAATAATTTATTAGTTTATCAAAATAATATAATACTAATTTTTTTAAAAATATTATAATATTTTAATATTAAAATTAATAATAATAAATTAAATTTTAAATTATTAAATAAATTCTATTGATATATTGTATTTATTAATTAAAAACAAATTTTATTATAAAATAATTAACAGAATTATAAAATTATACATGTAATTTTATTAATAAAAATTTTTTATTTTTATATTAAAGCAAAGATTTTTTATAATTAAAAAAATTTTTGTAATAACTTTGCAATTAGAATAACTTTGTTAGAAAAAATGATCTTTATTTTAATATAAAAATAAAAAATATTTATTAATAAAATTGAAAACTTTATATAGAATAAAAATATCAATTTTTACTATATTTTATTAATAAAATTACACATGTGTTTCTATAATTCTATTAGTTATTATATATATTTTTTGCTATTAATTCAAAGAAAATGCTTTGATAAAATCTTCAATTTATTCATATTTTAATAATAAATTTTAAAAATAATTATTTAAATCAAATAATATTTTTTAGTTATATCTTTTATAATTATTCAATTTGATTTCTTCAAAAAGAATAACTAAAAATTTGATTGTATTTATTTTACCAAAAAAATACTATAAAAGAATAAAAATATCTATTTAACTAAAACTTTTTTTATTTTTCATCTAAATATAAAGATGTAATAACATGACAATATACTATAAGTCACATTATAATTATATTGTTGGATAGTTTTATTATTTCATGGATTTATCTTGTGCTAAAATAGCAAAAGTATTCCAACGTCCACAAATACAATCAATTAAATTACTATTGATTTCTTCGTGAGATAAATTAAACTTAACTTTGGAAAAATTTAGTTGATCTTTTATATTATTTGGGCCTTGACCTTGTTGGCCATACTTACCTTTATAATAAAAGTTTTTATTTATTAGTTACAATACAGATAATTTATTTCATTTTTTTGAAAATTCGAATCACTCACCCCAGCCACATATCCTTAATTGATTATCATCTATTTTCGTAAAGATTTAAATTAATAAATTCATTAAAAATGAAAAATAAACTATCAAAAACAATAATACCTGTAACGATGGCAGTATGTGCACTTCCACATGAAACTTTTAATACATTCAAACCATCTTCATCATCGTCACCATCTTTTTCAGCACCATCTTCACGATCGAATTCAATCAAATTTGGTTCGGCAGGATTTATCGATACTAATTTATTATTATTGTTGTTGTTGTCATTGTCACTTTGAATGGATGATGTAGTATTTATACCCAATCGACCATGATTATTCCATCCGAATGTGTATAAATCCTGTGAATCTTTTATTTTTCAATTAGAATATTGATTAATGGAATAAGAATAATATTATCAATGAAAATTATTACCAGTGATAACGGCCGAATGCCAGCCACCACATGCAATTTCTGTGACCGTCAATCCCTGTAGGAATTCAATTGCAGTTGGTTTGTTTAATGATACTAGATTACCATGTCCTAATTGTCCATATCTATATTAAATTCGAAACAAATCGATCGTTCATTTAATTTTTAAAAAAGGAATTATAAATATAATAAATATAAAAAATAAATACCTTCCTGATCCCCAAGTAAATACTTCACCATTTCGAGTTAAAGCAAGGAAATGATTTTCTCCAGAAACTACTTTAATAAAATTATTTTCTATTTCGTTTTCAATGGGATTTAATTCCGATGGTTTAGGAATATAGTCGTCGACTTTTCCTTCTCTCACATTCCATTGCCATAATTTTCCATCAGCTCAGATATTATATAATAATTGTAGTAGATTAATTTACAAACACACACTCCTACTACGGAAATATAAATATTTTAATAACTACCAGTAATGCAAACAACATCTCCACCTGTACAACACTGAGTTACATCAACACATTCAGTAGACAATTCAATGATTTTTTTGTCTTGGTATAAAAATCCATTTTGATCAATGAACCCTCGTATTCCATAAACTCCATCTCCAAAACATTTTTTCACATTTTGTGGTAAATTAGACAAAGTCGGTGATTTTACTCCATTCAATAATCCATCAAATCCCCATTCGATTGGATTTAAATTCACTCGTGTATTTATTTTTATTTAATTGAAAATAAATTTAATAAATTTAATCATGATATTTGATTAGCTTGACACATAAAATTTTATACCATCCATTCCCAAAGTCATATTCAAATTTGCCCATATTATTTTAGTACATTGAGTAGGTGAGATATCAGTAGGCTCACTAACAATTATATCTCGACTACTGGGAATTGTTTGAGAGAATGCATTGTATCCGAAGCCGTATATTTTCTTCATATCTATTTTTTTTTTAAAAAAAAACAGAAAATTTATAATAAGTATTCTTGGAGACTGACATTGAAATGTCTTTAAAATTCAACTTCACAAACAGAACATTTATCATCAAATACATGCAAATTTCTAATACATCATTAGGCTTTTCTTGCTAATATTTTAGTATTTTGCTGCAAACCATTTTACTCACCTACCCAAGGAAATGTTGAGTTGCATCGTTTGTATTTTATTTGGATTGTCATCATCATTACATTACACCGAGTCATCGTTATCGATTTAATTAGTCATCGTTATATCGTTATAACGAGTACAGTGCATACAACCTAGTCACATCAAATCACGTGATTCGGTCTCAAATTCAAAAAAATGAACACGTGATAATTATCCAATAAAATTACGAGTTTATAATATCACATGTTCAAGCTTTTTTGAATGAAAAATACGAAATAAAATGTTCAAATCTGACTTGGAGTAATAATAATGTCAGGAAATCAATTTTACATAATTATTTTAATCATTATTGATGCTTAACATTTTAATAAATCAGTTTTTATGATGCTTGACATTTAATAGCTCAT